GCTAGGATATAAGATAAGAACCTCCTATCATTTCTATTTTCTGAGATGTTAATATATTTATTGAATCAACCAAGGTGGCCCTGCCTACCTCTTCCATTTTTGAAAATGCTTGCTTATGTACACCTACTTTGCCCAATGACATTTGTATAGCCAGTCAAAAGCTCCCCACTAATGGTTTTCTCAGCCTCAGCAAAATATTTGCATGAGAACTTTCTTTTCATGCTAGATTCCAAGCAGTAAGATAAGACATTAGTGAGTAAAAAAAAAATCATATTTTTTTAGACCTAAATGCAGCTGTTACTAAGCTTTATAAATTATAGTGGAATTCTGTGGTATTGATATAGTAATTTATGATTTTTTGTTATTTCAACATGCATATATAAAATGTGAAAAAAAAATTTATTTTACATCCTCCACATGTGAAATTTGAGTAAAATGTTTGTAACTAGGAGAGATAATTGTTTTTTATACTTCTTTATTTACTGATTTATGTTTTAATATCTGAAATTTAAGAACTTCTTTGTAAATAGTAACAATGCTTATTATGTCAGATATAAAAGACTTTTTAGTGTAGGTAGTATTATTAATTAATTAATTTTGTGTTTGTAATTCACTGATGTTGAGGTGATCAAACGTTGTATTTGCAATCCATTGATGTCAAGGCTATGGAGATTTTTAGAAACCCTAAGTGATAGATGTATAATTAATGGTGTCCAGATGAGTGTAACAGGATGAAAAATAAAGTCAGGGGAAAGAGAAGATCAGTCAGAAAAACGTTAACTGTTGTGGGAGTGAAAGGTCTAATGGTTGATATATTAGAGTGAAATTAACAATTTTAAACAAGATAAAGAGAATAAGTTGTCCTGTCAAAGGGTGTCCTAAAATAATTGAACTTGCCTCAGTGGACTTTGACAAAAGGCAGACGACTATTGGAAGTACGAAAGCATATGATTATTGGAAGTACAGGATACAATTGCGGTAACTCAACCACAACATAAGTGAACTATAAACGAATGTTATTGTGATAGCAATAGAGAAAAAAATAGTTTAAATTGTCAACTGAATTCTAAAGCAATTGAACAGTCCTAAGTGGACTTTTGACAAGAAGAAAACTGTATAGTGTTTAAGATACAAGTATAATTTCCATAGTTTAAAGAATTTTGTACATATGTTCAACTTGTTTCTCATATATATATATATACATATATTATTTCAAAAACAAGTGAAGTGCGTGCTCTTTGTTTATTGTCAAATTTATTGCCAACAAGTCATAGACACCTACTGTAGAAGAATCCTTAGCCGAACACACCCATAAACTTGAATTACTACATACAACTAAAAAGTTAAGTTCCTGACAATACATATGTAATGTATTATAACTGAAATGTGACTGTATTTTACAAAATACTGGTCCACTAGAAGCCAAGATAGGTAGGTCACTTTGTAAAGGCCAGTCTTATATTCTTGGATATGGTAACCTGAGTGCATCATTGCAACTTTTGTAATGCTAGTCAGGCACGGCTAAAAGGACAATAAAATAAAAATAATAAATATATATATATAGATGTATAATGTTATGAGATTTAAGCTATTTTGCCTAAACATTTGTGTTTTCGTGTTACAATTTGTAGTTACTCTAGAGAAAAAAAAAAGCATAATTTATATCTCTTTCCTAATTTTTTATGGTGGTTATGAGGTTGGTCAAATCAACCAAATCAAATAGTGAAACTAACAGATAGAATATTAAGTTTTTTAAAAACATTTGATAATTATCTAGAGGTTATAAAGATTTCAGAAGTGAAATTTGAAAAGTTTCTGACGCATAAAGTATTTTTATTTTGAAAATCAAAATCACTTTTGCATGTTGGATAGTCAACATTCAAAAAGAAAAATGCATGACAAAAACATTACTTAAAAAATTTTGAAACTTAGTACAAAAATCTGATATTTTGTTTACAAAAGCCTTGTAATGCTTACTAATAATCTGCAAAGTTTTGTGAAGATGCGCTTACTGTATTAATCGTATCACCATGGGTCATGGGTCAAAGGCCATATGATTGTTTGTTGACTTGCATTCCAAATTTTATTGAACTACTATTTTATGAATTTATGTCAATAAGTTTGGTATCAAGCTGTAGATTATAATCCAAATTTTAGTGGTATACATTATTTGATTTGTTAATTTAAAAGTAAATATTAAAAAAAACACACCTACACATCGCTTTTTGTGTGTCATGTGGTATGTCAAATCAACCAAACCTGCATATAGATACAATAGAGAAAATAATAGACAGTCCATGGGACCAAGCCTGTAGTGAGAGAGTTAAGCAGCTTGAGTACCTTCTTCCTTGACTGCATTCCATCATTAAAAGTACCAACAGCATTAGTAGCAGCCCATCTTGTACGTTTTGCAGTGACAAAGATGTTCTTGGGGCAACAATTCCATATTACATGGTGTAGGGACTCTAGCATTCTGAATGATGCAATCTAAGCATTTTGTCAGGATCTCATTCTAGATAATCTTTCATAGATGGTCTTGATGGCTTTCATTATATTCTCTGGCATGGAATGTTTATGTGAATATTCTGAGTTGGTGGCCATAGCTTTTTGGAATTTACACCAAGAATCTTCATAAGTGATGCTGAGGTTTGATATTGGTTGACATTTTATGGTACCAAGTTGCCCAAATTGCATTCCACTCTCCCATACCACTTCTGGAGACTATCAATAACCTTATCAGTGAATCTGCCAGCACCCCCTATTCTCTTACCATTGCTGAGCTTTTTACCTTTCATATCTTTTTTCAGATTTTGCAAAGCTGTTCATGGCCTTTTCTGAACATGCCCCCCACACAAATTTTTATCTCTACAATTCTGTCTCCATATGATCTTGACTCCTTCACTGTATGGAAGAATTTACAATTGCCATTGCTGATTTACCTTGAGTATCTGAGGTCTCTTTCTTTCTCAGATCTTTGAAATCTCCTCACTATACCTACTGGTTCCATTAAAGATGTGGAACTGTCCTCTTTCTCTTTTGCAGCCCTGTTATTGTTTGAAGAGCAGTTATGACAGTACCTACTAAGTGGTTCATAGTCAAGACTTTCCCAGATTCACTTGAAAGAACAGTGACAACACCATGTAAGGAAGAATAACCCTGTTTCTGCCAGGTACCATCACACATCTCAATCTCAAATGATTCAGTAACTTTGGCATCTTTCTTTTTGCAAGTGTTCAGCAGCTTTTTTCATGCTTTGACTAGCAACTGCTTCAGTAGCATTCACAACAGATGTTAAATGCTTGATCCAAGACTTCTGAGTTCTTGGTGGGTTCATGTTCATAATACAACAAAATAATTCTTTGGCAGTTCTACCTTTCCAATGCATGACATAGTATACATAATTTGCTTGTTAGTAGCAAACGAGTTCTTTCCCATTTCTTTTACTTGTAAGCCAAACTTTATCATTATGTTCAGTTCATTCCTTTGCACACAAAGTTTAGAGTAGCAGCAAGTCCACTTCTATCAATAATTTCTAAGCTCAACTTTTACCCACATGAACAGTGGCAAAATTCACTCGTTACTTTTGACAGAATGTTCATATCAACAAACATATTACCACTTTGGATACAATATTGTGTAATATTTTCTTTTCTTTGATGGGGTATATTCAGAAGCATACAAATGTCCACATTTTCTCTTAGAAGCACTTTGCACTATGGAATCTTGTCAGAAGCTGAAGTTGCAGAACTTGTACCTGCACTATGAGTACTAACAACTTGTGGCAACTCAAGTGGTTCACTTGTACCTGCACTATGAGTACTAACAACTTGTGGCAACTCAAGTGGTTCACTTGTACTGTTAATAAGCTTACCAGTCTTCTCTTCACTCGTTTGTTTATTTCTGGTAAACCTTTTACCATGAAACTTCCTCTTCTTTGGTTTATGAGGACCATGCTTTCTGTCCATCCTGAAATATTCAGGATTTACTACAGGAATAAACACTTTTGATGACAAGTTAGACTATTGGAATTAGTAAAAGCACTTTCTTTCTTCAACACATGGAGTTTGACCTTTGTGATTGACTCATCAATGAAAGGTTATTGGTGTAGTCTATTACTTCAAAGAATGCAGCATTTTGATGAGTAAGAGGAATTAAGACAAATTGGCTAAAAGTGCTTCAAAACAAGAAGAAAAACATCTTTGGATCACATTGCCATGGAAATGGAATGTAAATGAAGGCATTTAAATGCAAAACCTTTTATTTTTCATACTTTTTAAGGGTTTTTAGTTTAGCTAAGATTTTTTTTGCACTGGACTTTGAAAGTATAAAGGGGTTAAGGATTCAAAATGTGCAAAAAATAAATTATAATATTTTTGACCTTTAAATGGTATATGCAACCTTAATGGTAGTAAAATAAACATTTATGCAATGTTTTGTATTAATGTGGGAATAATGTTGATTCATTTAGGAAAAAAAGGCATTTGACAAATCATATTAGCATATTTTTCAACCTTTGAAATATGATTAGAAACATAGATTAATGAAATACATTTTTCAAAAATGAATACATATATCATCCATAGATAGTAAAACTATCTGAAATATAATTTTATTATAAGCACATATTATGTATGTGTGTATGTGTATATCTACACATATAACAACTTGGACGGTATATTGCATTGAATTAACTTACAGTTGAATAACTTATTTTCACTTTCAGTTAACTTATAAAGATATTGTGCTACTTTTTAAATATGTTTGTATTTCAAAAGGTGGTTTCAGTTACATATCATGCTACACATAATTTTCAGTGGAACTTGATGTAAAAGTTTTTGACTAGAATAAATCAAGTGTAAGGATAGTAAGTTTCATGTTTAACTTTGATAAGCCACATGGTAAAGTGTTAATAGTCAACTAGTGGTATACTGGTTTTTAAAAATGGTAAATTTGTAGGTTATTTTTTTGGTTTTTATACTGATCTATATTAAATTTTTTAGGAACAGAGTTTATGGTAAAGCTCCAGAAACAACTGAAGTATTTTGTCAGTATGAAGATTTCCACTGATAAGAGGTGGCAAGGGATCCGTGTATATCTCTCTGGTCATGAGGTGGGAAAAACTTGAACATTATATGTTTACTTGAAGTTTGAGCCCTTGTAAATTCTCATTGTTAATGCTTTTGCAATTATAAACATCATGTATTTGGTTCTTTCATTATTAAGTAATTTATGTGTATCCTGATTATTATCTTTAGAAGAAAATAACTACAAAATGTATCTGAAAAAAATATTTAGCCATTTGAAGCACTGTAAATAATAATTCAGTGTAAAATTGTTTATAATTTTTAGACTGCCTTTTTATCCAAATGATGTCAATGATTTTGGAAATAGTAGAAATTTAATTCATGTAAGTTCTGTGGAATTGAACATTGCTGCTAAAGCTTCATCTCTAATGAGCAAATATGTGAAGGTTTAGTTTTAACCTCCTTACAAGTTCAAAGACCTTGATACAGTAATTAAGAAATGAAAGGTGTGTGAAAATTGTAAAAAGAATTTAACTAGGTTACCAATAAGATTACATTTATAAAATGTTTCATTAAGAACCAGCAGGGTGGTGAGAATGGTGAGCTCTAGAAATGAAAGAAACTGACCTAATGAATAAATAATGTAATATCCAGTTTTGTTGGCAGTTTTTTATTTTGTCATAGTTAGTCGTATGGTTTAAAAGTTGGTTTAAGAAAAAAACTGTTTGATATGAGATGATATAAAAGTAATATATAAAGTTGAAGTTAAAGCAGGGATGCCAACTAGTTGGATGACTGATTATGAAATTAATCTTTAAAATATGACAGTGTTGTGTATATATATAAAAAAAGAGTACAGTTTTTATTAATTATTCATTTCGAGTTGGAAATTTTTTGTAATATAATTTTTTGAACACTAACATTTTTAGTTTGCTTTTGTACAGGGTGTCCCAGAAGTCTGGACCCATATGGAAAAATACGCAATTTATTCTTAATTTATTTATTATTCAAATTGCATGTCATTAACAGCCATACACATATCAGTTCTTGGTATCTGTGCCATCAGGGTCTTTTCTTTCCTGAAATATGTACAACTGACATTAGAAATGTGTTTGTTTTAAGAATATAACATTTACTTTCCATATAGGCCCAGACTTCCGGTACACCCTTTAGATTATAGCTTTACAGATAGATTATAGATAGATATCTTTTAGAGGAATAATTTGCAAAAAAAAACTTCTTAAGTTCTTTAAACAGTATTGAATTGTATCAAAACAGCCAGTGGCATTTCAGATAATATAGCTAACTATATCAGGTACAGTTTTTATTCAAAAGCCTGACAAGCTAGTATGGTTATTAAGATTTTTATTCCTTAAATTAACATTAATAATGACAGTGACTCAGATATGCCTCCTGTTTTAAGAAAGAAACCTAAGTGATATCCAAGCAAACAAAAGTTTATTACAGAATATAATGTAGAGTTCTTAGTAATTACAAAATCAAATAAATCAGAATACCATGTCTATTGCCAATCATGCTAGGTAGAGTTTAAGGTTTCTGATGGAAGTAGAGATATTCTTATGGAACACAAAAACTGGAGACCATATTACTAATGCAAGAACTGTACCTTCATCAAAGACAGTAATGTGTCTTTTTATTTTTGTTTTAACCAAGATATAGAGATCTTAACCATACAAACAATATAAACAATTGTGAAGCTAAAATCCGAACAACAAAAGTTAGTTAGTAGAGAGTAATTAAATCAGATGAGTTCTGGTCTTTCTGAATAATGACTTTTTGATATGATTGTATTAGGGATTCATTAATAGATGCTGTTCTTAACAGTGTAAGATATGCCTTTTATCTTAGCATGAGGCATAATACTTGGATGTGTACTTTAATGTAAAAAGTAAATTGGAATAATTAAATAAATAAATATATATATTTCAATCCTTAAGAAATACTAACTGTCTACTTAAATGATATTGTAAAACCTGTACAACAAAATTTAATCATGCAAATTTATGTTGCTTATTTCTGGCTTGAAATGAGGATTTTATATTGTAAGAAAAAACTTTATAGTATATGAAGTAGCATAACTTCAATGGATATTTTTAATATGTTAAACAGTTATTTTTTCCCATGTTTATAAGAGAAAATGTTTTTTCTTTTTTTAAAAATAACAGAATGCTTATATTTGGTATAGAGACTTTGAGCTGTGTACGTATCAGTGGTTAGCATGTTGGACTGTGATTCCGAAACGGCATCATCTCTTCTCACCCAAAGCTATCTTGACCTTGGTTTGCCCTCTAAGCATTGCTAAAAGTTTTATCATTAGCAGCACACCAGTCTTTTATATCCCTTCATTTTAGCACGATTTCAAAATGTACTGATCATGTGATTACCCTCCACCAATCATACTGTGCCATCTCCCTTTATGTCCCTCTACTATTCTAGCACAATCCTCACTTTCTCGATTGCATTTTAGTATATAGACGTGTGTATTAATTTGCTCTCCATGTGACTACAAAAATTTGGTTGTGCTTGATCACTAATTTATATCAGTTTCAACTTGAAGTTTTGACTTCTTGTGTTTGATTTCCATTGTTTTTACTTGTTTGTTTTATAAATATTTCTGTTTTCCAAATTCTGATTTGTTCATATGAATTCAAGATTTAATATGGCAGATGGTGAATTTCCCTTGATAGTAGAATCCCTAGGTTGCAGGGTTGAGGATATTTGCTGGGGAAGCACAAGCTTTAGTTCGCGGAGAGTTTGTGTCTTATATTCGATCAATGATTTCTTCTTTCATGTTACAATTTTTTGAGAGGAAGGGTATAACTACTGAGTGGAAATTTCTTTGTATGGCACTTTCCACCTGTTATCATACCTCTAGGTAATCTGCTGGGTTAAGTATTGTTCTTTTTCCCAGGAGATCTGTTGTAAATTGTTCAGTGTGTATTCCTCACTCCCAGTTGGTATACCCATGTTTAGTGAGTTTATGTGAGCTTGTGTGGATGGACCTAATTTTCACACTCGATGATTTAGGTTTTTCATGTTTCTCTGCTTAGTATTTGGTCAGTTAGATTTTTATAATTTTTTTACCATGTAAGTTACTTTAGATTATCTTTGCATTTAGAGATTGGTTATTACTTTATTTTGTTTAATTTTTGGTACATGTGTGGGTTTTGCATGTTAGTTACTGTGTGGTTAATTGTAACTCTGGCCAATTTTGTGGGTGTGTTGGTTTGTTATTTATATATTTTTTTATGTTAATTAGTTTGCAAGTTACTTTTCCTTTACTACTAGTCACATCTAATTGGGGATTATATTTTAGTCAACATTTGTTATTGTTAACTGGGTTCCTTTTAATTCTCATGTTCTTCAGGGTAAGTTTTACTTTCATGTCCATAGACTTATTGGCTCTTTGAGTGGACTTATAAGTTTGATATTTATGGGTGTATTAGCTTCTTAGTTCCTTTAATGGTTTTGTATTTTAGGTGTTGCTTATTGTTTTAATTTTTAGGTCGAATTTCATAGTTTTGCAGGCTTGTTATTTTTATGTACTTTGTAGACTACAAATTTTTAGGTTTTGTTAGTTCATTGTAATGAATACTTTCTCTATGGTATTTAGTTTGTGTGTCTTTTTGGCTACACTTTTTGATAGTTCCATGGGTTCTATCTGAAGGTTTCTGCCTTTAGTTCTGCTCCCAGATCTCCTTCCCTCTTCCTCAGGATCATACCTCGTCCAGTCATTTTGGTGAGTCTGTTCCAGATCTCCTACACTAAAGAGCTATCAAATGGGTGGTGCCCGATCAATCAGGATTTTACTTCCATCTGTAGGAGATTGGAGGCACATTGTAGATTTGTCCCAGCTGTATACCTATCTGGGGGCCTCTTGCTTCACCATGGAGACCTACCTCTCACTTTGGTGTTTTTTTTTTCCACAGGACTTTGGATGACCAAGTTTGTTGTGATGGCTGCCTCTTTTCATAATCCAATTGTCCCACTGTCATTTCGTTTTCTTCGTTTTGTCCACAAGGGTTTTGTCTTCTAGCTTCGGGCTCTGTCATTTGGTCCTTCTTCAGCTTCACATGTATTTTGTCAAGTGGCACACACTTTTGCTCACCATCTTCACTAGTTGGGTCTTTAGACTGAACATCACATGAATGACTGGCTACTGCTCACCTCTTCCTATGCCCAGGCAGTTACTTATACCTGCTTACCTCTTTGAGAAGCTGCTTGGGTAGGGTTTCACATCAAGTTGTAGAAGTCCTTTATTACTCCCATGCAGTTTCTTATTCATCTGGGGGTTCTCTTCAATTCCCATCTAAGTCGCAACCAGCCATGTCCACTTCGGCTTTGAGTTTTGGAGTGGGTAGTCACAAAGGCCCTACCATCTCCTTCTCTCTTTGCCTCGGAGGTTCTGTCTCTTTTGGAGATGTGAACTTCCTTGGAAGGTCTCATTCCCTTGGGTCATGCGCACATGCATTCCCTTCAATGAATGCTTCTCACCAATGATCCCTTGAACCATCCCATTTCCCTTCCACCTGGGATCAGGGCCAACATTGCTTGGTGGTTCAACAGAGATTTGACCAAGGTAGGGGTTCCCATTCCTCTGCCTTTTCTCTAGTCTCATCTGTTCACAGATGATTCCTTGATGGGTTGGAGGACTTTCCTCACTTCATAAAATATTTTGGGTCAGTGATCAGTCAAGGGGGCCACTTTTGATTTCAACATCACAGAACCTTTGGCAGTTCATCAGGCTCTCTATCATTTATTCCCACTCGTGTAGGGGTGGGTGGTTATGATTCATTCTGACAATTCCACTCTCACCAAGCAAAGGGGAACCAAGATCTCTGTGTTTTCAGACTCTGGATCTTCTCTACTAGGCTAACGACCATGACATGATGGTTCTGGTATATTATGTTCCCAGAATTATGAACCTTGTGGGCGATCACTTATACTATCCTAACCAGGTTCTCTCGCTTTTATAGTGGTTGCTTCATCCTCAGGTATTTTAGTGGGTGTGTTCCCAACCGGGAACACTGCACATAGATGCATTTGCCACTCACTGGAATGCCAAACTTCCTTTCTTTTGGTTACCAGTTCCTCACCCCTCAGCTCTGGGGGTAGGAGCTTTCAGTAAAGATTGGATGTGTCTTCATCTATATGTCTACCCTCCAATGAAATTCCTCTCCAGAGTCATTTCCCTTATCCAGACCACTCCTTGTCATGTTTTGCTCGTTTCCCCATACTGGCTGGCTCAGATGTGGTTCCCTCTGCTTTGGCCCTTATGGGAACAATAGCCCCTTACATCTGTCCTGATAACTCCTCTGTCAACTATGTTTAGACATATTTCATCTCAGTGTCACCAACTCCGTCTTCATGTTTGGCTTTGTCTTGTCCCTTGCCTCAGCTCAGGGACTCACCACTCATGTAAAGTCTTTTCTTGCCCATACCATTCACCTTTCCTCCAGGCTTTGGTCCATTCACATGGGCTTCCAACCATCCCGTCCTTCTGTTCCTCACCTCTCCCAATTCTTCCCCTGGTTGTTTTATCAGGGTTTGTCCATTTCAACTGTTTGTTTGTTATAAGGCTGCTCTGTTGAACACCTTCCATTCTCTCACTTTCAGAAAGCCTTCTTCTTCCCAGTTATTTCCTTCCTTTTCTATTCCTTTCATCTGGTCTCTCCACCTTGTCTCTTTGTTCTACCAGATTGGGATCCCAATGTTGTCCATCACTCTCTGTCTGGTTCTTCCATTGAACCTATTGCAATGTGTTCCTTGTACCATCTTTTCCTTAAGATTTATTTCTTCCTCCTCTTGGCATGTGGTCATTGTCATTTCTATATTTATGCTCTAATGTTCCCCACATCCTTTACCATTCCTCATATGTTATTGGGCCTTCCTTCCTAGGACATCGGCTATCAGGGAAGGTTGTTTAGCTTTTTCTCCTATTTCCTCCCCTTTCAGTTCCCACCTGTACTCCCATTCAGACCTGAATTGACTACTCTGCTCAATTCATTCCCTGCTATGTTATGTGGCTTGTACTGCCTCCTTTCATGGTTCTAATACCAATCTATTTGTTCCATGGAATTCCTTTGTTTCCTGTGATCTATCACCTATTAAGCTAACTGGTTAGGTTCGTCAACTTATAAAACAGGTGCATTCTGACTTATCCATGGAAGGTCACTGTCTACATAATGTTTCTTTGCACCAACTTCATCACCTCACTATGTCTTCAAAATTATGGACAGTTAACACAGATAGCTCTCAAGTACCTTTGCAGAAAATTAAAAAACTATAAATATTTTATAAGTTGTTTTGTAGTAATATAAAACTAATTTTAGTCATATTTGTTTATTATATGTATTTTTCTGTGTTAGTTATTCTCATATTTCTAGACCCCAGGAGAAGGAGAACACAAGATTATGGACTTCATAAGATATGAAAAGTCTCAACCAGGATATGATGCTAATACAAGACATTGTCTTTATGGTTTAGATGCTGATTTGGTAAGAAACTTCTTCGTCATCCCTTCAGTAAAGAATTACTATTTCATTATGCAGTAAAGGTAAATGAGCAAATGAAATGTATACTTAGATAAATTATTTAGTGGCATTTTTGTTATGTTGGAAACAAATGATAATCACCTTAAGAGAAGTGAATTTTAATAAAGGAGTTACAAAGAAATTATGCAGTGACCTGTAACAGTTTAAATATTTTTTTTTCACTTACAAGAAATGCCCCCCAAAGCTTAGAAGCTTCTGGACTTTTATCTTTGTGATTTCCAATGAGGAAGAATGGGGAGGGACTGATTCACAGTTATTGAGATCTTTGCTAAACACTTGACAGTTTCTAGCAGTATTCATGCTCAAAGGATTGAAAAAGTTTTTCTTGGAATTGTTTTCTTTTGTGTTTGTTTCTATCAGGAGAAAATTTAGTTTTTCAGATTAATCTGATGAATATAGATGATTTTCTTTTCCTTTGAGGAATAATCATTAACAGTTTTTATTCTCTTTCAAACAAAACTGTGGAGGAAATTGCTGGATATTACAATAACAACTGAGTTTTTAGACTTTGTAAAAGTACTATCATTATTGATTTTCACAATTTACATTTGTTTTTGTTAACACTTTAAACTGAATCACATAAGACACTATTATATTCAACAGTTGTAGTAAAATACTATTTATGTTTTAAACAAAGAATTTTATTATTTTTATATTTTAAAATATTTTTGGCAGTAATTATACAGGTGAAAATATTGTAATGTTTTTATCATTGTGTGGGTTTTTTTTGATCACTTGGTAAAAATAATGGAAAGTCCACTTGGTCTAGTCTACTTAACAAAAGGAAAGTATCTTCTTTCTTCAACTGAAAGCTCTACAAGATGCACAATCTATAACATAACTAACAATATTTAACCAAGTGATAGGCATATCTTCATAAACAAATAATAGTACTCACAGTTGAATTTATTCTGTGTTTTCAGTACTTTAGTACTTTGTTGAAACAGAAATTCAAAATTTATGGCACAGAACTAACTAAAATAGATTGAATAATCAATCAGCAACATACTGCTCCTACTCTAATATAGGTGGCAGTTTTAAATTTTTCAACTTCTTTTTCATACTTTCAAGAAAATTCTAGACATTCAGCTACATGCTCATCATGTGACATCAAAACTTCCTCTAACAAAGGTCTAAAATTAAAATATTAGAAACATAACCCACAACACTGCTCCCTTGAACAGTTCTGTTATGCACATACAGAAAACAATTATGATACATTTAACTTAAACTTCCATAATTAACATTAAAGCAACAACTCTTGTGTTTATTTCCTTGCTGCTACTGGAAGTCCAACTTTTTCTGTGGTAATGATTGTGTAGCATCTTTACAGATCATAGACTATGAAACTGTTTAAAGATAGTCTAATGTCACATCTAATTTTGTGTGTGAAGTCTGTTCTCAATATGCATTCATTTTGTATGTCTATTACTCACACATCATGGTGTGTAGAGAAGCTTTTCAGAGTAAGAACGTTATGACCTCTTGCTTTCACCTTGGTCTATCTTTGTGCTTCTTCTCTGGAGGCTGTTTTCCTCCTTTCATTATGAGAAAAGGTTTGACAATGGTAGCTGTAGAACCAGTGTAAATTGACATGTTGTCAACTGGTGTCTTTAACTGTATCACCACTTGTATCCTTTATTGTGTATGACATAAGATTTTAGTGTCTTACATTAAAACTTTTATTAAACTAATTATTGTTTATGTTATACCAATTAGTATAGCATAAAATCTTAGCTAATAATCCATATTTTAATAGTATATAAGTTTTAAGTTCTTAATTCTATAAGGCAATATTTAAAAAAATCTTGAATTTCCACTAGTGTGACACATTTTTCTTCTCTATTTTCTGCACTACCCTTCCAGTAACTAAAACATTAAAACTGAATTACTCCCTATAAAATCGTCATTACTCGGACAAACCATAATTTTTATAGCCTTCAATTTTGTTTGATAACTGAGCTATCAAATAGAAAATCAGACCCCTCTTGCCACAGCCACCTGTCACATCCTCTCTTTCAGGATTTTTAATAGTTCTCACTTACGTTTAATTATATAACCAATAGAAAGCCAAGATTTTAATCTATCAAATGATATATTATATTATATTGTGTTCTGAACGGATAATCATCAATTTCACTTGTTGTACAGCTTTCGTTCTCATGGGAAAGGTAAGGACTAGCTTGGATGAATTTGTAAAGGCTCTTGTCTCATAGCTAGAAAGCCAGAAAATTGTGATTGCTAGAGGAAAATGTCTACATTTTGCATGTTATTATTCTATGTTCTTTGCCTCATTATTTATTTAAATATAGATTATTTAATGCACTACTATCATTAGTATAAAAAAAAGTAGGGTTAAGTGTCATCAATAGCCTTCAACAAATAAAAATGATACTTGGGTAAGTACTTTATTTTTTTTTCATCTTTATTCTTTATTGTCCTTTGAGCTGTGTCTAACTACTATTTATGCCATTATAAGTTGCAAATCACTTAGGGAACCTGCAGCTCACATTATGCTATTGAATTGCCTTACTCACAAGATACTCCAAGCTGCTCGCATAGTGCCTCGTGAAACATTTTTATTATATTATTATTATTTATTTTACTACTCTAACCTTAACTAACCTAAAGAGATCTCTATCTTTACATTTTAGTTACTTTTATAATAATAAATAAAGAATAAACATGAAAAACAAGAAATAAAGTACTTACCTGAGTATTCGTTTTTTTTGTTGTTGTTGACTGTCGATGACTCTTTACCATACTTTTTTTTAAACTAATGGTAATAGTGCATTAAATATTTTTTATTTAATTAAATAATGCATCAAAGAACATAGAATAATAACATGCAAAATGTAGACATTTTCCTCTAGCAATCACAATGTTTCTGGCTTTCTAACTATGAGACAAGAGCCTTTACAAATTCATCCAAGCTAGTCATTACCATTTCCATGGGAAAGAAGCCTGTACTAACTGAGAAATTGATGATTATCTGTTTAGAACATAACGTCATTTGATAGATGAAAACCTTGACTTTCTATTGGTTTTAGGTAATATATAATTAAACATGTGAGAGAACTATTAACAAATCCTGAAAGGGAGGATGTGACAGGTGGGTATGGAAAGAGGAGTCTGATTTTTTACTTGATGGCTGTGTAACCAAACAAAATTGAAGGTTATAAAAATTATGGTTTGTCTGAGCAATGGTAATTTTATAGTGAGTAATTTAGGTTTAATTTCTTAGTTACTGGAGGGGTGGTGGATAAAATTGAGAAGAGAAGATACCTAGAAAAAAAGTGTCACATGTGTCACACTAGGGGAATTCAAGATTTTTTAAAAGATATTGCCTTATGAAATTAAGAACTTAAAGCTTATATACAATTACAATATGGATTATTAGTTAAGATTTTATGCTATACTAATTGGTATAACATAAACAAAAAGTAGTTTAATAAAATTTTGAATGTGAAACACTAAACCCTTGTGTCATGAGCAGTAAATAATACCCATGGTGATAGGGATAAATAACATTAGTCACTTATTTGGTACCTTCTGTACTTTAATGCTCCGTTCAAACAGGAACTCAAAATTGATGGCATTGAATTAGCTAACAATGATTCAGTAATCTATCAACGACTTAGTACTAATAGTCAAGTATCTCTGGAATTTTTATGTTGTTCATACTCTCTAGAAAATTCTAGTCACTATGCTATGTTCTTATCATATAATGTTAAACTATCTAGTGAAAGTGTAAAATTAACATATGAAAATACTGTATGGACACTAATACATTTGGGGATGGTAGTTCTTTACTGAATTATAGTTTTTATGGAAATTAAAAAACAAAAATATGAACTACATGTAACATTTTATGTTCAGTAATCTTGGGTATCTTTTGTTCCTCAGGTAGGACCTAAAAGTTAGTATAATATTTAGAGGATGAGTTATAACTTGCTTGTCTTGTTTTTGTAGATAATTAAACAAGTATTTCCATTCTAGGTATGTTCATGCTTTGTTAGCTTATAGTTAAGCATTCGGGTAAAAAAAAAAACAAACTATTTTTTGGTGAAATTGTCGAAATAAGAGAAGTGAAATAATGGTGAAGAAAGTACTCCATACAATGAAGTCCATGTCACTGAGATAGAAAGCATTGTATATTTAAGAGAACTACACATTATGTTTAGCATTTGAGAATTGGAAATTTTTCTCTTGTTTCACTGATAATACAATAACAAGATCTACTACCATAGTAGTAATGTAGAATGTTACATGCAATCATTTTAAACTGTAATTGGTTTTCAAATAATGGCACAGGAAAATGTGAATAATTAAGTGTTATTGTAACATGATTAGTTTTACTCTTTTTCCCAGTATAACTTTAGTTGCAAATGTTGATGACTTCAAAAACTGTTTATTTTGTATTAGTATTTTCTAATTTTGTTTAAGCTTGTTATTGATATTTTTCTAATTTTCCCAAGTGTATTCAAGTAAAAGAACACATTGCAAATGTTACTTGGGATATGCTGATAGAACTTTGTTTTTGTTGTCATCTAAAGTCACTAAGTTGAATTTTTGACATATTATTCATACAGTTATGATTTTCTTTACTATTAAGAATGTTTATTTTTTATTTTGTTCAGATCATGTTGGGTTTATGTTCCCATGAGCTACATTTTTCATTGTTAAGAGAAGAAGTCCGTTTTACTGGTAAAAAGTCACAACAAAGGTAAGAATCTGTGATACTCAAAGTTAGATTATTTCGATTGATTAAAACTATTCTAGAAAATACAGAATCTGACTATAAACTAACTATTTGTGAAGAATTTTGTATTACAAGAAACTAATAATAGGAAATCATTTCAGTGTTACATTTATTACTGCATATAGGTATGAATACCTTTAAAAAGTTTAAATAACTAGACTGTATATGGGTTTGTCATAGCCATTTTTCAGCATGTAGTTAATTGACTGAAATACTAAATATATAAATAGTTGAAGATGAAGCTGGAATAGAAAAAATTATTGCTAATACTGCTAAGCTCCATTTAATGTAACTGTGAAGTTTCAAAAGTTGTACCTTAGGCTTAACATAACATAATGTAACTAATTAGGGAAACACACAAGCAATAGACATATACAGGAGTCACAAACAAGTAATGGTAGGTATGTGGTGAATTTATTTATAGTGCAAGACATATCACACAAATTACAAATGAAAAGTAAATAAGTTGTACAATGCACTGCTATTTTTTATGTGAGCCCTTAGAGTTACACCTTATTTTCATGCTGCCATAAAATTTATCAATGTATGGACATTCTTACTGTATACATAAGCCCATACAATCTCACTAGTATTCATATCTTTACTCTATAGAGATATCATTTTTCCACATTTTCTATGTTTGAGATCATTGTCTTACTTAAAGATAAATTCCTGCCCAATGAGTTATTCCAGAATAGGTGGCATGATATATCAGAATCTACTTGTATTTGTCAAAAGTCACAATGCCATCAGTTTTTTTTTAGATCACTGACACTGTTGGCTAAGATGAAGCTCCAAGCTTGTACTGATCCATTGACTATGGTATTGTTCTTCTCTCCATCATTGAACAAACTGCCATTGATTATTGGTGAACAATTTGGTTTGTTACCTCTTCATAGCAACTGTTTTTCAAGAGATACACATCCATTGAGACCACTTCATACTAATATATATATCTTACTATTTTCAAGGTAATGCTCACAGCTGTGTATACACTAAGGACGTTGGCAATATCTGTACTTACACCTGTTTTTTGCATAAAGAACATACCCTGAAATCCTTATTTTCACCATTGCAGAGCTTTGGATTTGTACCTCAACTGCTTCTGTTATTAACTCTAAACACAGGCTTTGTCAATTTAACCAACCATGTGACCTCTTTGTACTCATTTAAAGTCTTTATAGATTTGATACTACTAACTTTTAATATAGTATGTATATCTTCACAAAATTTGGTAGTCTTTCAGTAAACGTTACAAGTCTTTTACATACCAAAAGTGATATTTTTTAATGAAGTATTTTAAATAAATTAAAAAGAGATTTGTCTATGAATATATCAAGTATTTATTTTGAATAGTCCGTGTGTAAAGTGATTTTAGTATTAAAATTAAAAATCCCAAATTTCATTTGTGTAATCTCTAAAGCCTCCTAAGTACATTTCAAATGTTTATTTTCAGTTAAACTTTATATTTTGTTTGTTATTTTATCTACCCTGACTTTATACAAGGTTGGTCAATTTGACTGAACTTGAAACCACCAAAAAAAATGTAAATAAATTTAAATTACTCTTTTTTCTTTCTAGAATGACTTCAGATTGTAACATGAAACTACATTTGTTTATCCTAAGTAGCTTTGAACTCATAACAGTATACATTTATTTATAATTAAGTTTTATTGTTTTATCACCATTTGAACATGTCTAACTACTATTTATGCCATTATAAGTTGTAAATCGCTTGTAATGGAACTTTCATTACGCTGTCAAATTACTTTACCCATCAGCTGCTCATGCATGCCTCGTGAAACATTTTTATTATATTATTATTATTTATTTTACTTAATCTAACCTTAACTACTACTAACTTTTAGCAACTTATATAATAATAAATAAAGAATAGACATGAAAAACAAGAAATAAAGTACTTACCCGAGTATTCATTTTTTTTTGTATCGATTGTCAATGACACTTAGCCCTACATTTTTTATACTAATGGTTGTAATGCACTAAATAATTGTTATTTAATTAAATTATGCACCAAAGAACAAATAATAACATGCAAAAAGCAGACATTTTCCTCTAACAATCATAATTTTTCTGGCTTTCTAACTGTGTGATAAGAGCTGTTACAGATTCATCCAAGCTAGTTGTTGTCTGTACCATGGGAACGAAGCTTGTACTACCTGAGAAATTGACAACTCTCTGTTCAGAAAACAACGTAATATAATACTTCATTTGATAGATGAAAATTTTGGCTTTCTATTGGTTAAAGATAATGTATAATTTAACGTGCGAGAGAGAACTATTAACAAATCCTGAAAGTGAGGTTGTGACAGGTGAGTGTGGCAAGAGGAGTCCGATTTTCTACTTTATGATTGTGTAACCAAACAAAATTGAAGGCTATAAAAATTATGGTTTATCTGAACAATGATGATTTTATATTGAGTAATATAGGTTTAATTCGTAGTTACTGAAGGGGTGGTGAATAAAATAGAGAAGAGAAGATGCCTAGAGAAAATGTGTCATACTAAAGGAAATTCATGATTTTTTTAAATATTGATTTATAAAATTAGATCTTAAAACTTATATACTATTAAAATATGGATTATTAGCTAAGATTTTATGCTATACTAGATGGTATAATGTAAACAAAAAGTAGCTTGATAAAATTTTGAATGTTAGTTACTAAAACATCATTACATGCACAGTAAATGATGCCTGGGCAAATAGGATTAACAGGGTCAGTTTTACATACCCTCTTTAGAGTCTTGCATACAGTTCCTATTGAAACATGAAGTATTACCACAATTTTTGCATGGAATCAAAACATTGATTTATACGTGCTTGTCATGTGGTATTTCAGTACTCGGAGCTATGGCTGGATTCACACACACTTCTACTGAATAAAGCATAATTGTGTGTACTTTCATAAACTTTATGCTGGTATGGCACATTCTGATTTCTTAGATGATAACCAATTACAATTTAATTCATGAATGTGTGTGATTTTACTCTGATTTTCATACTTTTTCTACCTTTTTTCATCACTGTTTCTAGAATTATTTCCAATACTGTATGTCTATGAAATATCTTTAAAATGTTACTTTTTTTATCTATATTAGAAAGCCCATAGTCTGTTGTTTTATGTTATATGAATGGATTTTTCATTTTTTTAGAAGTGTTAATATGTTATTTGCTTAGTTGTGTGTGAATGAATGTTAGTGATATATTAAAGCTATTTTGTGACTCGTATGTGATTCATGATTTTTATATTTCCTAATACTAAGTTAAAGGTCATCTCCTTGTCTTGTATTTATGAAGCATTTTTATCTGTTTCAGAATTTCTACACCAGAAGAAACAACTTTTCATCTCTTACATCTCTCACTTATGAGAGAGTATTTGGACTTTGAATTTTCTGCCTTAAAAGTGAGTTGTACAATTGATAAATGTATATTTATATAATGATTCACACACCTACACTAGAATTTTTTCCCATCAGTTTAACAAGCTTACTGTATATTCAGCATCATTATTCTGATGATAAATAAAAACCTAATAATCCGAGCACTTTCGAAAGATTGACCTTTCTTCTTCAGGGGCAAACTGATTTCTAGTTTGAAAGCTCTCGGGTTATAGGGTTTTTATTCATTTCTAGCCAGACTTCTTGAACCTACGTGTTTTTCTAACATCATGAATTATTCTGATAACATTAGTAATTAATTCATAGAATAATTTCTTTACATTTATTATTTTTAATGAATACATAAATAACAATTGAATTTTTTATAAAAAAATACAGGAGTTTGAAAGCCTGTAAAACAGTATGTATTAAATGATATTCTGCTATATAAAAGTACTACATTTGGTATCTGCAGGTATTATTAATCAGGTTTGCATCCCAGCCAGTGTTGTTCAGCTATGTAGACTTTTTTGCTTTCAGTCTGCATAATTTAGTGGTGGTGTGTTTCAGGCTTTATGCATGTAGTGTCTCTCAGTCATAACTGGGTTATTCTAGAACGTGTACACTTTGTATATAGAAATGTTTTATTTTGTAATTATATATATATATATATATATATAATTACAAAA